GACCCCTCACTCCCGAAGAACGCACATACAAAAGTTCAGCTGCCATAAACAGCAGGGTCCTACTGTATAGCACAGGGAACTATATTCAATAACTTGTCATAGCCTCTAATGAAAAAGAGTATGTATATATATATATATGTAACTGAATCATTATGTTGTACACCAGAAACTTAACACAATGTTGTTAATCAACTATACTTCAATTAGAAAAAAAGTTTAGCTGCCATTTCAGGGGGTTTACACCCTCCAAGTCTATGTACACATCCCTCCCTGGCTGCACATTTGAATCACCCGGGGGCTTTTACAAAATCCCTGGGTCCAGACGTTACACACAGAGACTCTGATCTAAGTGATCCAGGGTAGGATCTGGGCATCAGAATTTTTTATAAAACTCTCTAGGAGGTTCTAACACAGCCAAGACTAAGAGTCATTGCCCTAGGGCCTGTCAGACTGTCCCCACACCCTCTGATTAAGAACCTCAGCCTTGGACAGTCAGTGCCTGTACGGAGAGGCGTGTAGGAACGCACCTGCTGGGGCTGTACTAGGGAACGGGGCAGATGCCATGCACAGATTTATCGTTTTGCCCACTGCGTTTAAAATCCTTTCCTTCTTTCCTCACCCCTCGAGGGGTGCTTCCTTGGTGTAACACTTAAAATAATTTTAGCACATCGCAGTGGGAAGGGAGCCCGGTTGCCTTGATGTGCTTCTGTCATTTCAAGGAGCTCAATAAAAATTTAGTTTTGGTCTTCATTCAATGCAACTTCCGCAGAGAGGTCTTATGTTGCAAACCCGAGTTCTCTTTTCATCTGGTCACCCCCGGGGAAATTGTGTATTTGAAATTCAAACAATATTTGGGCAAAAAGCATTTCTCATTATATGCAGTGGAGAAGGCCAGTGAGAGGAAAGCACTGGGAAATGATTGAGTGACATTTCTATTTGCTGGTTTGGCTTTTCCACCAGGGGCCGCCGTGCTTTGGGGCTGCCAGAGAACCTCAGCTTCCTGGTCTGGACTGGAAATGCCAGACCCCTGGAAAAAATAATTCGGAGGAGAAAAATATGAGCGGGCTAGAGACGGATTTGAAGAGTCAATGTGACCTCACGCTGATGTCGTCGGTAAGATAGAGAACTCTGTGTTTCGCGCAAGTTCTCCCTAGGAAAGAGATTGTTCTACACTCAAGGTTGAAGGGAACTCAGATACCAACTGCCGCTACCTTTTTTTGGTAGGCAGATCCCCTCTCTAATGTTTAAATTGACACTGGTCAAGCATTTAAATGGATTTGCACCTTGATTCGCTCCTTTATGGACCCTCAACAATGTCTCATGCTTGGCAAAGTGTGTAGGGGAATTCAGAGACTGATTGATGGGTAGGTAATACCTTCCCTTAAGTAACTTATAGTATCCTGAGGACCAGAACAGCTAAAAACCCAGGGAGACAAGATAAATGCTGGGAGGGCAGGGAGCTGGGTGAGGGGATGGGTGTTGGAGGAAGGGCAGGTGGGAAGAATGTTAACCTTGACTGAGAGTCCATTAGAAGCCAGACCCTTTGCCCAACTTACTTCTTTGCATCATTACAACAACTCTTGAAAATCAGCACTGTTATCATCCTCACTCCCTTTTCACAGACAAGGAAACCGATGCTCAGAGAGGTGAATTTGCTCTCTCAAGGTGACAGAGCCATGAAGGAGAATAAGTATTTTAACCCCATATATTCCAGGCCAATCCTTTTGCCGTTGTAACAGTCTGCTTTCCCAAGAGGAGCTCAAAAAAGGGCAAAGGCTGACTTTTGGCTGGGCTGGGGGGCGAGAAGGAAGGGATTTGGGTAGGCAGAAACTGGTGACAGAAGGTACACTGAGGACAAAATTTCCCCGGCTTAACAGTGGGGAAGAAAAAGTAACAGCTTGGGCTGGAATGCAAGGGTTGAGGACGAGAGCAGGACGGTAGGTTAGGACAGGATTTTGAAGGTACAGAAACTAAGAAGGTAGATTTGGGGTCGTAAAGATACTAGAGGACCTGAAAAGTTTTTGAGGCGAGAAAGAGTCTAATGTGACCACTGTTACTGTTTATTTTATTTTTTAATTTTTAATTTTTAATTTTTTTGCAGGGGGAGGTAATTAGGTTTATTTATTTATTTACTTTTTTCAGTGGAGGTGCTGGGGACTGAACCCAGGACCCCGTCCATACTAAGCGTGCGCTCCACCACTGAGCTGTCCCCTCCCTCTGTTACTCTTGATTTAGGAGTTAGAGAAGAGAGTTTTGAATCCTGGCTACGTTTCTTAGCTACGTAATTTGGGGCAGATTATTTAAGCTCTCTGTGCCTCAGTTCCTTCATCTGTAAAATGGGAGCGCTGAATAGTACTTCTGTCGCGGAGTTGCGGTAAGGACCACACGAGTCATGTCCTTGTAGGGCTTAGAATAAGGCTGGGCACATAAGCTTTTCATAAATGCTGGCTGTAACTGTCACCCTTTGGGAATGTAACTCTGATGATGGTGTATGTAGCAGGGATGGAGGGGGGAGAGAGGGAAGGCTTGGATGTTAGCTAGGAGGATGTTGTAACAGCTGGGCGAGAGGGTCTAAGGGTTTCCCCTTGACTGGCACCCAGGGAACGTAGCCAAACACGGGGAGGCGGAGTCAGCATTACTATGCTTCTGATCGGTGGTGGGGCCTCACTCAGGAGTCCCCGGAGATGACTCAGCTGGGAGAATAGCTTCAGTCCTGGACCTCAGGGCACCGGGAGAAGCTGCAGGTGAGGAGCGGAAGACGGCTAGAGTGAGAAGCAACCCCAGAGCCAGAAGAGACCTGGGGGGAGGGGGCAGTCTAGCCCTGCCCCTGGCTGGTTTCTACGTGGCTTTTCGGAGTCCTTGGCCCCCAGCCCTGGGTCCTGGGAAGCTCCGCCCTTATGCTCCCCCCGAGCCCTTCCTGAGCCCCCCTTGTGCCCTTGGTAGCTGCTTCCCCAAATGGTCAGGGCCTGGGGGTCCCGGGTCCCTGTCAAAGCAGGCCATGTTTCCTGCTGCTGCCTTGGGGAGGCTGGGCGTGAGGGTTGAGTGGACCTCATGCCCAGGCCGCACGGACCTGGAGGGAGAGGGGAGGATTTGGGGGGTGGTGGTAGGTGTCAGCAGCTCCCCTTGGGAGGGGAAAACTGATGAGTGACCAGCTCTGGGGCTTTGGGGGGTTCCCTGCTGCCACAAGAATCCCTTGATGGGGATCCAGTGCCTTTCTCTATTGCCCACGCCTGTCTTGATAGTGTGCACGTGGCATTGTGAGGGGTGTGGGTACCAGCTCACCTCCTGGAAGGGCTGCTGAGGGAGGCTGGAGGGCCTCTGGTCCGTAGAGGGGCTCAGCCTGGACCCCCCACCTCCCAGCCCTCCATCCTCCATTCAATCCCATCCTGCCTCTAGGCATCAGGGATTCAGACAAAAGGAGGCTTGCACTGGAAGGGGGGAGTCTCATAACAAAATTACCAGCCTGCTGTCAACCAGGCGCTCCGCCTCGCGAAACAGACTCCAGACAGGTTGCAGCGTGTCAGGCCTGGGCCTGCCCGGGCTTGGCAGGGGGTCCTGTGGTCAGACAGAGTCAATTACCCAGAGAGGTTCCACTTAACTTCTCCTGCTGTTTGCAGACCCTGCCCCGGCCTCTGCAGCCTCGCTGGCCTTGGCCAAAGCACCATCAGCCTGTGCTGGAGCCAGCTGCCTGCCAGCTCTGTCCTAGAACATGTCCCATTCCGCCGGCTCCAGGAGTCCAGCCTCCTGGCCGCACTGGCTCTCGGGCTGCCCGCTCTGGCCCTTGGCCAGTGGATTTTCACTTCTCCCCCTGCAGACCTCGCAAGGTCCTCAGGTGGGAGGGACACCAAGGGGCTGCCTCCTCTTGTGTCCCTCTTGTGAGGCAGAAGCATCCCCCATGTCCTCATCCGCCTCGGTCACCTGTCCTAGTCCAGAGGGTAGTGCCAGTCTGGGCTCTGGAGTCAGACAGACATGGGTTGAACGCTGGGATCAGCCACACACTGCTGTGTGACCTGGCACGTTGATGTAACCTCTTTAAAACTACAGTTCCACCGTCTGTGAGATGAAAATAATAATAAAATATATCTCATAGGATTGCTGTGAGAATCAGAGAGATAGTGGGCGTGAAGTACTGTTAAGTGCCGGCCTAGGATGACTGCTCCCCAATATCCTTCCCTTCCTCCCCCATGACCGCCTCCCCTCCCCCGTCCTCCCCTGCTCCCCGCCCCACCCCCGCCCTCCTCTTCCTCCTTTTTATTTATTTAAGATCCTCAGTCATCAGGAAGTTGGTGTTTCGGTTCCTCCTTTTTGCTATAGAAACCTGAAGGGGGAGAAAACCTAGCTTCTAGTCCAGCCTTAATTGTCAGTTCTCTGCATATAGAATTGAGCCTACACCACCACAAATACTAATCTCCAACTGGTTAATGCTCATTGAGCAAGGTCAAGGACTTTTGGGTTATTTTAGGTCCTAAGTGTCACGGGCTTTCCACCTGCTTAGCCACTGAAGTTTTGTCTTTCACAGACATTTCCTTCCTGTGCACCCCCTCCACCTGCACAGTCATCTTCCACATCATTGCCGTTGGTCAGAAACATCCAAAAGATGCAGTTTAGAGCTTTTGCAGCTATAATGCTGTCATGGGATTTCAGCTTTCAACATGCACCTTAAGATGAAAGGCAGGACCCTGTTGTTTGGTCATCAAGTCATTCAACAAACACTCACTGAGAGCTTATTATGTGCCTGGGAGCTCAGACACCTCAACCCTTCAAGAAGTGAGCAGCCCACTGGGGAGGTAGATAAGTAAACAGATGATTAGAATCGAGCATGCTATATGCTACGACAGGAGTGGGGTAATGTGACTGAAGAAGAGGGCTTGGAGAGGCTTCTGGGATTAGGTAGAAGCTACATTCTACAGCTTGAGTACAGCTGGGCTGGAAACATGGACAGCTGCACTGTCCCTCCAGCTCTGAGGAGGAGCGTGGTACCTGAAGATGGAAGTATCTTGCTTCTCATTGGGCTCCAGTCCAGCCGCCAGCCATCTTTCTCCATTTGGACTTTTGTTGCAATCTGCTCACAAGGTCTCCTCTCCGAGGGGCCACGCATGGCTGCAGCCTCTCAGGTCTGGGGCAGTTTCCCCCCATCCATCTCCTCTGCCATGCAGGTGGGTGGGTGAGGTGGGCCTGACAGATTCTGTGAGCAGTGACTGCACCCTAGCACTGCCCTAATTGTGCTAGACAGAGCTGTTTAAATATCACCAGACAGAATATTACTCAAATTAAAAATGAGGCCTTAAATGTCATTATTTGTGTCATTATTAATAGCCCCTAATTGTGTTCTCTAATCATCATGAAATTATGTTAGTATTAATATTCACGTCAAAGCTGCCTAGGGAACTTGGAAGATTTAAAAAAAATTATACCATATGTCAGTTCCCACGAATGTGAAGCAAGTGCTGGTTTTAGTGCCTTAGAGATGGGACGGTGGTCTCTGTGTCTGGGGACTGGGATAGCCCCCAATTGCCAAGGTCCTCTGAATTCCCGCCCCCTGAGTCACTGACTCTTGGACCCCATCATTTCACAAGACCCTTGGAAGCATGAGTGGGACCTGTTCTCACCAAAGGCTCCACGAGTCTCCTTCTAGCTGCTCTCATTTGGTGAGGAGATTGGAGTCTGCTCAGACTGGGATGTGTTTGGCGCCCTGGGACATGACACTTCTCCTCCCCCTGCAGCTTTGAGACCTGCCTGTGTCTAGACACCATAATAAGAAACACGTGGCGAGCACGCCTGTCCTCACTCTCCATCTACTCAGAGACTCCGCCTCCGAGCGTTTGGGATTCTGTCCCAACTGCCCTTCGTGGCTCGGGGAAGTCGTGATGTGATGCCAAAAAAAAAAAAAAAGTTTGAGTCTCCCAGAGAAATTTGTTGTATTCTGTAACATAGAAAGAACTTCTGGAAAATGTACTTAGAGATTCAGCTTTTAAAAACACATACACATAGTAGTTTGTATCTGCTGATCCCAAACTCCTAACGTATCTCTCCTGCCACCTTTCCCTTTTGGTAATCGTAAGTTTGCCTTCTATGTTGGTAAGTCTCTTTCTGTTTTCTAAATAAGTCAGAACTGTACACAGTTGCTTGTGATAACCTAGAATGAAAGAGAATATGAAAAAGAATATACATCTGTTTAACTGAATCACTCTGCTGTACAACAGAAACTAACCCAACATTGTTAAATCAACTATACTTCAATTTAAAATAAAAAGTACGTACAGAGTGACCATGAAATCTGGAAATGGGTGAATCTATGTCCTCAAGGCGATCCTGGTCCTGTAAGGAATAAAATAGAATTAGCTGCGTTTCCATTTTATGGATAACCCTGGACTTGGCCCCGGGCTAACCTTGCCGGGACTTCTTTGGGGGAAACACTGACCCCCAGGATTAGGATGGGCTCCCTCTGGAAGCTTGTCTTTTCTCATCAGAGGCACCAGGAGGGAGCACCTCTCAGCCCATGGGATTCGAGTTCTGCCTCCCCTGCAGGCTGACGCCAGGTGTAAGAGGTGGGGCGGTGGCGGTGGCGGTGATGGTGACGAGGCAGGCGCTGTTGCCAATTAGAGCTTCCCTCCCCGTGGGGATGTGGGGGGCGAGCGCCCTGGGACCCCCAGAGGCACCAGCCTCCTGCTGGTATCTCTCACTGGCTCCTCTTCATCGCTTCTACAACATTCCTTTAGGCTGCCTGCTCGCCGCCTCAGTCATCCGCTAATGGGGTCCACGTGACCGCGATGTGTCAGACAAATCTGGGGCAACCGCTTCACTCTCTTCCCCGAGCCCTTGGAATTCTCTGGAACTGAGACTATTCAAATGCCTTTCTTGGTGAAACAGCAGGCTTCCAACCCCCACCCCCCTAAATATTATGACTTGAGTTAAATATAACCCAGAGCATGAACATACTGGCACAACATGGGCGGGGCGTGGGGAACCGGGGGACTGAGCAGCTTGCAGACATGGTCACACTCTCTGTCACCCCCGGGGGTGGCAGGGCGTCCACAGGCCCCGTGGTGTCCCCTGCCCACTCAGGCAGGGAGCCCACACGCCCACACGCCCACACGGAGGCCTGGTGCTTTAGCCTGGGTGGGTCTTCAGTCTGCGGGTTTCTGCACATGTTCTGTTTTTTTTCTAATCCATGGGGTGTGACTGAAAGGGTCAGGGAGGATGTGTCTTAGCTGTGGTGTGGAAAGGGAGGCTTGCCTGCTTTTTCAGATGTGAAGGGAGAATGAGAGCAGGACGGGGACACTCAGGTGGCCTCAGCTGCGGCCGGCATGCTGATGCGGGTTTCCAAGCCAGAGGGCACACATGCCCGCCTCGGTCACCGGACTGCCTTTAAAGATAATCTAGCAAGAGAAGCCTTGATGTGCGGACTGGAAGGTGGGCAGAGGCAGTTTTGGGACTGTGAGCCGGGTCCTCCGGCCCCTCTCCCGGTTCCCCTCGTGCAGAAGTGTGTGATGGAAACTCAGTGAGTAACAGATAAGCAAAAGGGTTTCTGAAAGTCAGACTCTCTGAATTCCAAACCCAATGATTACAGTAGTTGTTAGCCTAGGGCTGGATTTGAACCAGTGAACCCAGAATAGAAGAGTTGAATAGGACTCCTCTCAGAGCCGTTCTGCCACCGAGTTACCCGGCAACAGCCACGTGGCTGTGTCCATTTCTCCTCTGCTTGGGGCCAAACAGCAAACAGCTCAGGCTAGTCCAGAAGAACAGCTATATGCACATCTCCTTGGTGTGACGAATACTTACACACGTGGGAGGATTTATAGAGTATGTAACACGCTTCTACTTAAACTGCCACCTCTGATCCCCATATGATAAGTAGGGCAGGTGTAATTACTCCCCAGTGTCCAGATGAGAAAATTGAGCCTCACCACAGGTGTTGGCCCACAGCTATACAGCTTATAAATGACAGAGTGGAGTTGACCTCAAGTTTTCTGGTTGCCGGGGCTACATTTGGAATAGTCCCCTCCCATCGGGTACACCGGTCTGTGCGCCTCCAACCCCGACTTGGACAGAGGTGGCTTGGGAATTCCGAGAAAAGCCAAGAGGCCGGCTAGATCGTGAATTCTGTAAAGGCGGCAGCAACAATATTATTAAGCTCTCTGCCCTTCCCCAAATCTTTTCTCTTCTTGAGTCATATCTCTGGTGTGCATGAGAGTGGTCCAGAGGGATGTGTGGGCAGGTGTGAAAGGAAGGTGGTGACAAAGAGTTTCCCCTTTCACGGTCTTAGATTTTGTTCTCTGTGGCCCTTCCTGGAAGACGAGTGAGCAGAAAGATATCCCCTTCTGAATCTGAAAACAAAGCACAGAGTACCTCCTCCCCATCATTCTCCCAACCCCTCCTCAGATCGGCAAATCCCGAGATGCGTTCTTGGAGAGAGAGCTTGTGGGGAGGGAGGGGGTTCCAACCTCACTTGGTGCTTCCTGTGAGGGTCTGAGGAAGAGGCAAGAGCCATAGGAAGGAGATGCACCCCTGAACTCCCACCTGAGCTGCGCACCTGCCTCTTGCTGGAGGAAAACAGGCAGAAAGCCGGGTTGGTGGGCCTCTCCAGACACGTGCTTCTGCCCCATCTTCTGTCCTGAGACCCACTGTCCAGCTTTCCACTTCCGTGCCCCCCTAATCCTCCCTACACCCCCATCTGCCGCTCCACAAAGCCCCTGTTAGAAGTTGACTGGCTGCTTAATGTGCTACAGGTGTCGTTGCTAGGCAACCACCCCACTCTGCAGCTCAGGCTCTGTCAGCCCGGCTCAAACCCCTGGTAGCACTTAACCCCGTAACTGCTTAACGCGAACGCTAATTGCCCGGGCCCACCAAGCGGCACACTCGTCCACCGGAATCAAGGAGCGGGCGGGTGGATTCTCCCCGCCTTCAGGACCTCAACCAGCACTTCTCACCGCTGAGCCCTGGGCCCGGCCACCCCAAGCACACTGTGGAGGCCTTTTGTTTACCAGTGGCTGTTCCTCCTTTCCGGCCGCACCGTCGGATACTGGATGTATGTTGGCTGCCTCCCTCCACTGGACTGGGTTCTCCCTGAGTCAGCCAAGCGCCTTGATTGCTCTCTGGTCTCCAGGAAAGAGTTTGCAGGCTTGTTTCTGCATTTTAAACGATGTTCAGGTTAACACTCAACCTCACAGTTAGGAATGAAATTCATTCTACGATGTCAGTTTTGCTGGGCGGACCACCAATTTTGGACAATTCTTCCAACCCTGATTGTTTCCCCGCACTCCTGTTTTGGCCTTTGCTGCCCCAGGTGGAGTAACTCACCATCCTTTAGTGGGACCAGGAAGCTCTAAACATGCACAGATAGCTACTTAGCACATAGTTCAGACTCCAGCAGAATTGACCTGTTCCTGAGTCGGCCTCCCCCTTTCAGACGGTGATCACACCTGCCCAACTCAGGACAGGCCCTCAGCAACCGTTGTCACATGCGTGACCCCAACCAGGTTTCACTTCTCTCTTCTAAACCACAGGGTTAAGTTGCCAGCAATGGGAGAGCCATTAAGAGCCAGAGCAAATGCCCCGTTCTTCCTCCCTCTTCCTCATGAGACTGAACTCTGCCGATAAACAAGATTATAGGAGATGCCCACGTGGTGCCGAATCATCTTTCTGCTGATGGGGTACCAGACGGTGAAGGGTAGGTCTAGGCCTGCGGGGTCATGGAATTGGAGATTCCCACCCATCCCCGAAAGCCAGCTTCTCCCAGACGAGCTGGGCACCTCCCCACGGTGCCAGAACTCTGGGAGGAGCTGGAACATCACTTAACCCTTCTCCTCCTGGCAGTTACCTAATTATTCAGGGGCGTGGGAACAGAGAGAGAACGTACTTCCGTCGAACATTTATGTTCATTCTTTATTTAGGAGCAAGTGTTTCAATCCCAGAGTCCTACCTCAAAGTAAGCATCGTGCCCCCCGCGGGTGGAACATGTCGGGCAGTGCTCTCCTGCCTAAGTGCATGCTCCCATCTAACCCTTACCACAGCTCCAGGCCCTGGACGTGACGATTTCCAGCCCACATGTAAAAAACTGAGGTTCAGAGAGGTGAGGGAACTTTCCCCAGTTTGCACAGTAGTAAGGGCATTCTAAACTACACTGCATCCTGGGAGATTTGAAAATCATCGCTCAGAGAGGTTAAGTGACTTGCCTGAGATGCCGCAGCCAGTGAGTGGTGCGATTTGACTTCTCATTGGCCTGCCTCTAAAGGCCTTTTCATGTTTTGTCATTCCCATCGCATCATTTTTGGGAATTCTTCCTCCAGGACCTGTGTGGATGGAGCCCCCACCGTGTGAGAAGTCCACGTGGCCCACAGGGAGCAGCAGAGGCAGAATCCTGAACAGGCTGCACCCTGAAGTGAGGGGCTCTGTGCGCTACTTTCCCTTCCTGGGAAGGGACCACACTGGGGAGAGAGAGGGAGGGAGAAAGAGAGGGAGGAGGAGGAAAAGGAGAGCGGGAGGGGAGGGGGAGAGGGAGAAAGTGCAGGAGGAAGAGGGGGAGGAGGAGGAGGAGAAGGGAGGGAAGGAGGGAAAGAGACAGAGGGAGGAAGCTAGAAAGAGAAAGACACGCACGCACACACCCGCACACCCCCCCCAACACCCACCCACACACAGACGTCTTGTGCCTCCAGCCCCACGGCCCTCAGCTTCCCTCCCTCATCTTGGGTCAGCAAAGCCTTGGCTTCGGACTCAGCCACTTGTTGCCAGCTGGTGGCATCCAGAGTTGGGAGTGCCAGTTCGGTCACAGGTGACAGCATTGGAAACATCATCATGGCCCTGGCTCCTTCCCAGTAGACCCAGTGGGTCCTGGAAAGCCCCAGCTGGGGAATTAAATGGGGGCAAAGAGAGATGGCATAGGATGGGTCCGAGTGGGGAGGGGAGGGCGAAGGGCTCGCCCCATGAGTTTAACACTTTCATGCAAGTGGTTTCTCAATAAAGTATTAATAATGTTCCTATAATTGATACTTCAGGGCAATAACCTCTGACAAAATGGCCCTGATTAGCAGATAATTGAGTGTGTTGGATTGTGTCCTGAGAGCTGAACGCCAGGCAAGGCCCATTAGCCCGTCGTAATGACCCCTTTTGTCAGGTATTAGTGTCATTAAGAGCCTGCTCTCTGAAATCAGTCCCTTTATTTAACTCTTTTCCCTAATTATATGGATCATTTTACAAATCAAAGCAAATGTTTGCATACAGCCCTGTCATGCAGTGGAGCGAGGCTGGAGGAGCAGGCTGGAGGAGCAAGGCTGGAGGAGCAGGTTGGAGGAGCAGGCTGGAGGAGCGAGGCTGGAGGAGCGAGGCTGGAGATTTGTGAGCGGAGAGTCCTTGGGAGGAGGGTACTTGTGGTCCCTGGGAGATTTCCAGAGGACATGGGCCCCTAGGAGAGCATCCCATGAGAAGACGGTGCGGCCCGTGGGCTCGGGTGCCTCCGAGAGGGAATATCTGGAGAGGGGATGACACGCCAGGAGACTTTGCAGGCCATCCACAGGTCACCACCTGTGCCCCTGAATCCATCTTGGCAGAACATGGGGCCTCCTCGCCTCAGATCGGCTGGATCCTTGACACAGAGAGCTCCAGGGTGCAATAGGTTGGTACCTGAGCCCAGCCACGGGGCCCCCAGAAGACACAGGACACCTGAGCTAATCATCTGGGTTTTGCCCAGAGCTGACTCACATGTGCGTCAGGAAGCAGGAGCCTCCGGGAATGGCGGGAGAGGATAAGTTGGGCCCAAGTCTGCCCGCTCTCGGAAAATGTGACCATGGTGGCCACATGTCTGTGCTTAGAGCTGGCAGCTAGGTAAGCTGCAGGTGCTCCTGGGACTCCCAGGGACTCGGGGCCTGATCAGCCCCCGGGCCACACACACAGAAGTTGACACAACAGGAAACTCAAGGGACAGAATGTTGCTTCTGGCCTGCTCTCCCTCGCGCCTTCTCACTCATTAAAAAGTAGAGACAGTTTCCCATTTATTTGCATCCGCTCGCTGCCTGACGCCTTTCCCACCCTCCCAGCTCTGCACAAAGCTTTTCATCCCACGGCAGGTTCACGTGTGGGTGAATCAGAAATAGGGCTCAGTCTCTAGAATGAATTGCTTAGAGATGAGGGACTGA